GCACTGTATTTAACAATTGAATTTTTCGTAAATTACATCAATTATTTAATTTTGGTTAATGTCAGCTAATGTACCAACAAGAACAAAATATATTATTTATTCATAAAAGATATCGCGAAGCTCTTTCTTTAAAAATTTCACAATAAATTAATTACCTTAACAAATGAACTGATAACAAATTCAAGTTCAAAAAATTGGCTTACAAATTAAATACACAAATTTTCAATAAAATAACATTCACCTCATAAGCTGAGTTAATATATGAATATATTTATTTCAATAGCTTTATCACCTTAAAAATATATGTTGATTAGTTTTAAGAAAGTTCTGAAAATGAAATTAGTTTAATTATTTTTGCTTGAAACTTTACAACATTTTTTTATATAATTGAGAAAAATTGCAATAAAAACTAGTGTACCGGTTAGAAACCCAATGCGGATTATATTCACACCATCCTATCAAAAGTCTTATGGATAGACCAAGATTTGCCCATCATAAGTATGAAAGTATGAAGCTTGATAAGTCAACTGAGCTTCGATCAGCATAAGTTTGAAGGTATAAAGATTGACGAATATGCCAAACATTCTTTGTAAGTTTTTTAAAAAAAATTTTTTGATCAAAAGTTGAAATTTATAAAAATCACAGTCAACTTTTGTTTTAAAAAATTCGTAAGAAAGGAAAGTTTTCTGCTATTTCTGAAGCAACGGCTGTTCCGACCTTGCCCAAAAACAATACAGCTCTTCTATAGAGCAGCACGGATCAAATGTAAAAAACTAGAAGTCTCTACGATGTCTCGTTATTGAGATTTCTTGCTGATTAAATTGCTTGCTTGCTTGTTTGCTTACAGAAAGCGTATTTTGCGATTTTCTCAGCAATGCCATAACCAATTTGAAATCTGTTTTTTGAAAATGATGTAAAATTTCAGGCACAAACTTTTCTTCTTGACCTTTTATAACCAATTTTGCTTTGTTTTCTCACAAAATGCGAAAAACTGATTTTTCAATCTAAACAAAACCAATAGATTTACACGTGAAAACGGTGTGAATATAATATATAAAAATAAAAGATGCTTTATATTTATTATTCTTAAGTTTTCTTTTTTTTTAAAAAAAAAATCTGATATTAAAAAAAACTACGAGTAACGTGATTTAATGCTTTGCATTTATTCAGACTAAAATATAATCACAGTAGAACATTGAAATGATTCATTCTCAATAATTATTCATTATTGATCTCTTTTGATTCTATAACATTTTTCCATTTTATTGTCTATAAATCCAATAAAGTCCTATAAGTTCAATATAGTTTTAAAAACACTTTTCTATACAATATGCCAGTAAAGCTCAATATTTGGAGATCGATTCAATTTATTGTATAAGCTCATACGTAACGCAATCATAATTTTTTTTAAAAAAAATACAGAAGAAATTTTATTGCTTTAATCTTACAAAAATGTTTTTGATTTTAAAAAAGGGTTGATCACCACTGACAATGTTTAATGAGGTTTATTGCTTAATTTCTTCATCAAATTCTTAATAAGCAGTGTTAATTCAATTAGAACAAGATATTGAGTATTTCTCATCTACAGAGTTAAACAACCATAAAAAGCAAATATTTTAAACCCATCATACTGGATTAAAATTGTTCTTTGGTACATGAATAAATGACGATGAAAAAGACTTTTGGATTTTGATATATTTATTTAGCAAATCTCAAGTGAATAGATGTGTAAGAAATGTTAGTAAATTATTTGGCTGACATTAAAATAAAGTATTTATGACGACAATGATTAAACATTAAAAATTACTCAGCAAAATTTTATAAAAATCTTGATTATTGTAGATATATCTCAGTCAATGTTGGTATTTAAGTGAAAACTACTTTTTAATTATTTAGGTATTTCAGCTATTTTTTAACATTCTCAAACAAATATACATTATCATAAGAATTTTATTAAATTACTATTATAATTTTAGTTCTACGAAAGAAATTCTTTTAAGTTAATTTAATTAAATAGAATAATTAACACTTCCGTATGAATAAATTCTCACGTTATATTTTCTCCAGTTTTCTCGGATTTTTATTTTACATGGAAGTGTTATTGAATCGATTGTAAATAAAGTACAAAGTAATAGAAAAAGCTCATCAATATAAAACAAAACAAAACAAGCAACATCACTGAACTTGAAAATTTGAAAACATCAACACAAGTAAGAAGATCATACGGTATCAAGTTTGGCAAAAAAAAATGTGCAAAAAATTGAACATTAATAAATTGTATGTTTACAGTAGATGTTAGGTTCAATTTAGTTAAGCAGTGTTTAAATTAACACTGTAAATGGCAAGCTTTTAAAAGCTTTTTGAAATTGTTTAGTACGTTGCGCTAATGTAAATATTTAACGACCTTATTTTGCTGTCATACATAATATAATCAATCATTATTCATTAATATAATTATCTTTTACTTTTTTTAACCTTACTTTTTTGTATTAATCAGTGTTGTAAATGTAGATGTCTACACTAGATGAAGAATGTAGATTCTTCAATAGTTTTTGTCTGAGACAGAAATTTCTTCATAAAGATCGATTCTATATGAAGATAGAAAATCTAATCTACACAAAGATTATTTCTACATAAAGATTCTGTCTACATAAAGATTCGATGTAGATGTCTACAATTCTACATTTTTTCCAGGACTACATCAGAGAAGAATGTAGAATTGTAGACATCTACATCGAATCTTTATGTAGACAGAATCTTTATGTAGAAATAATCTTTGTGTAGATTAAATTTTCTATCTTCATATAGAATCGATCTTTATGAAGAAATTTCTGTCTCAGAATTTATCCGATTCAGACAAATGGACAGAATGCAACACTGGTATTAATCGATTAATTCATTCTTTCTTTTTTCTTATGACATAAAATGTATTAAAACAAAAAATCGAAAACACAACTTAACAAATATTTTAAAAATTGAAGTTTACTTATTTTATTGTTTTTTTCCTTCGGGGATAAGCTTGATTATAGAAGTTTGTAAATAGAATCAAAAACAATATCGCATGTCCTGCAATAAAATAAACAAATGACATTGGAACATTGCATGGATTGTTGAAGATTAATTGCATCGAATGAAGCAAGACGAGAACAAATTGAATCATTTGAAGAATGGTCAAGTATTTTTTCCACCAAAGATATTTTTGCATTTCGGGTCCAATTGCAGCCATCATATAATATGTGTACATGACAACATGAACAAATGTGTTTAAGAAAGCAAAAAATGTGCTGTGACCTCCTGGCATAAACTTGACACCCCACCAAACTGGAAAATTTGAGAAATAATTGAAAATTAAAAATATTTTTTGGATGATCACAAATGATGTTCTTTGTCTTATTATTTTTTTTTGAAAGACATCATTTATGAACAAATCATAAAAACACCAGTTTTACCACTAAATGGCATGATTCCATGATGAATAACATGTAATGTTGACACCTGATCAAATCGTTTTCTTAATATGAAGAAGAATGTATCGAAAAATTCAATGAATTTGCTGATGAAGTAAATATAACTTCCTCTGACCATCTTCAATTAAATTATATTTAATTAAATATTTTTGACTAATAATGCATAATATTCCTTACCCTCATTGCAAATTCATTTTGTGAAAAATCAATTGGTTGACATCTCCAGCTATATCTTGCAAGCCATGAAATTCTGCTTCCTTCGAAAAATAAGTAGAAGCTCAATATAGCCTGAAGTAAGTTGTAAGCTATTAAAATCTTCCTGAGTTTAAAAGGTTTTTGATTTTCCATTAATTTCGGCCCAACAATCTTAAATCAATAAATCATTTATGAATTTAAAATCTAGCTTAATTATCATTTTGATTAACACACTGTTACTCACCTTTACAATGTAAACGTAAAGTAAACATATTGATAATGTTGGGAATGGAGAAGACATAAGAAACCAATCTGAAGTTCGTTGATCTGAGTGATTATCCATTAGGTTTCGCCAAGCTGAATAGAAGTTTGCCTGAAATTATTAACCTCGACGTGGATAATTTAAATAAATTTTATTAAACTTAATATTACCATTTTTCAAAGAAGAAGCTTTATGTCTTGAACGTTATGAATATGACACTGAACTATCTCAATGATTTACAAAAAATAAAATTGTCTTTGTTTTATGTGTCCAAAATAATTGTAGTATGTTTTTTTTTTACAACAAGAGTTATACTTGCTTATTTAGTAGCATGATGTATGTAAATTAGATGACAAACCAATGTCTGATAATAAGTATTTTTCCATGTACACGTATAATAAATATTCAAAATTAGTTTATCTGAAGTTTTATAAAACTCAATTAATAGTCTTAAACTTTGGAGCACAGTTAATCGACTAAATGGTAATGAAAAAAAAAATCAACGAATATTTTTACGAGCATTATTCTGCAAGGATTGCAGTTTAAATTATAAAAATGTGTTATTTGCATTTGTGGTTGTGTAAAGAGTTATTAAAAAAAAATTGAAATTGGTGCAATTTTTAAATGAGAAAAGAAACATTTCTTCAAATTTTAAATAAAATTAAATTTATTTTTGATAAATCATAAATTAAATATAAAGATAAAATCCATTTATTTATTCTATATATTTTTTAAAAAAAAGTTTAAACAAAAATTCCTATTTAATTTAAAAAGAAAACTAGTAAGTAAATTATTTTTGCGATCATTTCTTTAAAAACTATTCAGACTTTAATAAGTTCGTTGACTCAATAAAGACTACAAATTTACTCAAGTCATGTTTTTCAAAATAAAATCACATCAATGCACAGACTTAAGGACAGCGATATGAAAGTAAAACAAAAATTTTTAAATAAATTAAAAATTGATTACCAACTATCGCTTAATATTGTTCTATGTACATTAACCATTAGAGTATATATATCAGTCCCTAACAATTATCATTCTGTTAGGGTACACAATGGCAATAAAATGAATTCTTAAAGATCTTTTTTATATTCTATAATTTCACTTTCTATTGATTCTTTTCGATTTCCACAATTTAGTATGTCGAATGAGCTTTTAAATTCTGTTTTGATTCCGTTGAATGTGCTGATTCCATTTATTTGATTGAAACCATTTGTGGAGCTGGTGTCATTTCCGTTTATGGAAGTGAATTTGCTTCCATTCACTGCATTTCCATTGATGTCAGTATCATCTTTGAGTTTATTGTTGTGCTTATAAGCTTGTTTGTAAAAATTTTTGAATAAGAAGAAGAACAGCACGCCATGTCCACCGATCCAATATGAAAAGACAATAGGATAGTTGCATGGATTTGAGACAAATAATTGGAATGCGTGAGTTGAAATGCCACAGAATTGAATCATTTGAAGAATGGTCAAGTATTTTTTCCACCAAAGATATTTTTGCATTTCTGGTCCAATTGCAGCTATCATGTAATATGTGTACATTATAACGTGAATAAATGTGTTAAGTAATGCGAAAAATGTGCTATGACCTCCTGGCATAAACTTGACACCCCACCAAACTAGAATTAATTCAAACAAATTTTCAATATCAAACTGATTAATGATAATAAAAACCAAAACTTACCACTAAAAGGCATTATTCCATGATGAATAACGTGAAGTACTGAAACTTGATCATATCGCTTTCTTAACACAAAGAAGAATGTGTCAAAGAATTCAGAAAATTTACTAATATAGTACCACCAGCATACTTCTGCCATCTATGAATAAAAATAAATTTAGTCTTTATTATTAAGCTTGTAAATTTTAAATTCAGGTATTTGCATAATTTTTTTTGGTCCTTGTTATGTAAATCGAGGACCACGACTAGTTAAATTGGTCATTTAATTTTGACGTTTTTAACTTACCCTCATTGGAAACTCTGATCTTGAGAAATCGACAGGCTGACATCTCCAACTATAGTCATTAAACCATCCAGCCGATGCATATTCGTAGAATATATAGAAACTAATGAGAACTTGTAGGAAATTGTAAAATACAATTAGTGATCGAAGTTTGTATGGTTTTCTGCTTTCCATGAATCTTGGACCCAGCACCTATAATTAAAAAAGTATTAAAATACATTCTTGCTTATCATTTTTAGCATAGATTCTTGCAATGTCATTCGATTAACTAGTAATTATACAAATTTTAATTACTATTGAAAATGATTAACACTTTCATAATAAAATCAAATGACATGTGCTTAGTTGTGTTATTGAAATAATTAAAAAAATAAAATAAAATGATTTTGTTTGATCAACGAACCTTGACAATATAAACATAAGAAAAACATATCATGATTGTTGGAATTGGTGATGACATTAGAGGCCAATTAGCAACTCTTTGATCTGACATGTTATTCATTAAGTTGTACCATATTCCCTGCATTTTGTTAATAACTTCCATCTATAAGTTGAAAATAAACAATTCAAAAATTTAATTACGAAAATTCAATATAATTAATTATAATTCTGCATAAATCATACAAATGATTTTTTTTGTGTGTAAATTATTGACTTTTGAATTAATTGATTTGTTTACTTCAATATTTACACCACTTTGAAGTTCGAGTCAAGTTTTCATTATAATGCAACTTTTTTCTAAGAAAATATTTAAATTCGAGGTTGGAAAATATTTATTTGAATTTAAAAAAATCTTTTAATATACTGCGTAAATGCTCTTCATTGAACTTTATGAACAGTATCTCAAAAAATAAGCAAATAATCCTGAGAGCTCCACTTTAGATCTTTTAGGGGTCAGATAAGTTAAATTTGCATTGAAATTTGTACCGGCTGTAAGAATAGAACATAGCGACAGTCGACTGGTAATAACAGCCACTTTACGTTCACTTTGAAATAGCTTTCAAATAGTGGACAACATTTCAATAAATTCGAATCTTGTACCAATCAGTTCTTTCAGACTTTTAAGAGCTATTTAAGAAATCGTCAATATTCATCAATATTAAGTGTTAATGAAAAGCAGGATGACTTCAAACCCCTAAAAGCGGATTTCTCAAACTTCCTCTTAACAAAAAAAAAATGTATTCTTTTTTTAAATGGAACTTAAGCTATGACTGTTTTTTTTTTAATTTGTTTTGCTAATTTGTAAAACAAAAAAAAATTATTCATTATGACTTAGCAAAAAATTAATTAGTCCTTGATATCGCAAATTAGAACAAGAGCAAAAATTGAATTATTCAATTAAGAAGAACAAATAGATTTTTTTTAAAAAATATTAGATCTGTAATAAAATAAAGTGCATGAGTTAAAACTGGTTAAATCTGTGTTCAGTCCGTAGATTGTATATATTTGATAATAAAAAATACAGAAGATGTTATAGGGATACATAAACTTATGTATGTATCAATATATATATCCTTATATTTTTAATTACTTCCTAAGTTTTGTTCGAATATTTTCATGAATATGAACTCAATTTTATGAAGTTATTTTATTAAAAATATCCAAACGATCCTAAAATTCGAATTTTATATATCTTGTGACTTGAAGAAAAATTATAAAAAAATAATGAACTTTAGACAGCGACTTAAGAAATATTTTTAACAGGAAAGGATAATCGGCTGAGAGTACACTTCTAGTTTTTTTTTTGCCTGCTTAATTTGACCTTAGCTTGGTGTTATAAACGTTTCTTGAAATGAAATATTTTTAAGCTAATTGTCTTCATTTCAGTTTAACCAGGGGTGGAGCCAATAAAAATTTCAGATGATACGGAAATTCCTCTGAATTTTGTCCTTTACATCAATTTTAACGGTATAACAATGATTAAATGGAAGGAGGAGGTGGGTTTTATCCGAATCTCCCTTGACTACGTCCCTGAGTTTTTACTCTCTTCTTCTTAATCATATATCAAAAAGATCGCAAATTAATAACATAACTGCGATCATTTGACTTGGGGCTAATATTTTCAGAAAAATATTCTAAGTTTCGTTTTTTTTTCTTAAATTTTAAGTTAAATTTACCAATTTTAGAGCCGAAGAAAAATTAATTCTCATTTTAAAACTCACTTAAATAAAGCTAAACTAAACTTTTTATTATATGTTGCCCGTTATGCTTGACGGGATAGTACAATTATTTTAAAATAATTATATTAACAACTCAGTACTGACTCACATCAAATAAATAATTGCCATAAAATTTTCAAGAGTTGCTTTTAAAGAAGCTATTTTAGAATATTTGGGAGGTGTTATGTATGGACATAATCTACCTCTTGCTCACTTTAAACTTTTCTAAAGTTTTGTATCGAATATTATAAATTCTGTACCCTACTTTATTGGATTTAAATAAGTGAATTATATTTTTAACTCAAATTTCAAAATTGCATTTCGTAAAAATTATGTAAAATTAATAAAGAAATAGATTCAAAACAAATTAAAAACAAACTTTTTAAATCATAACTTACATCTTCTGAATGAATTTTTTTACCGAAGTAATTTTAATTAAAAAGTTTTGAGCTTTATAGCTAATAAACTTTTAAGTTTCACTCAATTAGTAAAATTTTCTTGCGCACTTTAAACTTTTATTACCACTTTAAAATTTTTGGAAAAATGATTTCTTTACCAACTGTTTAACTCAAATGTTTGTATACAACTGAGCGAATGATATTATATGTGAATTAAGAAAAATCATTTTTTTTTTCTTCTTTCATCTCGAGAACACTGCAAAATTTCATGACGAAAGCAAACCACTGAGCACATGTACATATTCAACTTGTTTTTTTCTTGTAGCATCGTTTTTTTGTGTAGACATGGTTAATTAACATAAAATCTTGCTCGATGAATAGAAAAAAAGTTGTTTTATTGATTTTACTATAGAATTTAAAAAAAAATTAAGTTTTCATTCTAAAGTTTTTATTTACTTTTTTATATATTTTTAATGAATTTTTATGAAAATATCACATGGGAAAGAGTCACGAGAGATGCCGACCGTTAACCGCTATCTTATATGAGATACATTTTGCTGAATCATTCTCAAAGCAAAAAACTCAAAAATTGACGCAATTGAAATGAAGAAGCCGGATTGAATATTTTTTAGCTCATCGTTAATATTATTTTTTGTTTATTTTTATCAGTATTTTCCCCATCTTGTATATTAAGAATATCTGTGATATCATTTATTTGTTTTCATTTTCAAAACTGTTTGTGTCAATGTCACAATGACATTGTCACTATTGTTTGAGGATTCCCATAGCATCAGAATCATATGAATCACATATTTTATGCTAATTTGATTTTAAACCTGTATAGATTTTATTTGATCATGAAATTTATTAAAAAATGTTGTTCAAAACGGAACACTATTTTACTATTAAGCTACAATTAATTTCAAAGTCAGTATGAATAGGATGAAAAAGTTAATGACACTTGCATTGAGATGGTCTCCGGATGTATTCAATGAAGACCTTGATTTATAAATATCAATAATTCCTGTAGTTTGGGGATATTCAATAATTTTGTTGGACAAAGGAAGTTTAAATTTTTATCAGGAAATGTTATAGAGAATATTCTCTTGAAAGTTCTTACAATTTGGAAATAAATCTTCAACATGCGAAATTTGTTCTTCCTCACATATGCTCCAAGCTACTTACCTGACAAACCTTTTTTTATCCAACACCACAATTGAATCTTTTAATTTAATATTAATATGCATCATTCTAGTTTTGAAAAATATCAGCTAATGTTAGTTATTTTTGAATTAATAAATTAAAAGCCGACAGAAGTTATGACGCACTCGTCCACACATATTAATAAGTACTTTCATGTGTCGTAAATGTATATATTTGCGCAAATAGCTAATCACTTGACGTAGAAAAATAATAATGAACAGGTTTGAATTAGGCAAATAGGTTAATCCTGGAATGCATGAGTACAAGATATAAACCATTATGTTTACAAGCTTTTTATTAGTTCATTTAAAAACTAAGCATATAAAAATTCTCTCAAGTGCTTCATGTGATTTGGAAATTAAACCACAAAATAGGATGTTAAAATATTTCGTTTAAGAAAAGCTGATTGCTGATTAAAGCTAATTTTTTTGCCTAAGAAATCACAACTATCAGCTTCCATCTTAAAAAAAGGGAATCATAAATGAATTAACCCCGAATATCAGAAATAAATTCAAAAAGTCATTTATTGTATGACTTAATAAATGAGCGACCCATTCTAAGATCATTATTTTTTAAGATTTAAAGATTTCATTGGTTCTTTTTTTCTAAGTTCAAAAAGATCATATACTGATCATACACTCTATGTTCAGTCAAACATCAATTTATAATTTTTTTGCAACTAATTCTTTAGAGTGTCTATTTGCCATGAAGTTATAAAGTATTTTTAAAATACTCTTAACATTACGCACAAGCATGAATTTTATTGTGATTTGATTTTGTGCCAATTCATCTTAGATTTCTATTTTTGGTATGACGCAAACTAATGAATAGAATCAGCATTGTTAAAGATTTAAAAATGTTAATTCGTGTTATTGTCTATGATAATTTTTTAAATTTTATAAAGAACTTTCTGAATAAAATCAATAAAGGAACTTAAAGCAAAAACTATTTAATAAAATATTGAAAATTTGGTGTGAATATGATAAATGCATTAAATCATCAATATACGGATATATTAAGATTTAGTGACCATTAATAGCATTCATTTTACTTTAAGAATCTCGAAGGCACACAAGCAGTACTCAAATATTGACATTGACGTTTAAATTTTTAATTTTTTATAAATTGATTAAATTAATATTTTTTTGCGTGATAATTTTTTTTTGAATTATTCGTCGGTGAAAGCCTTGTGCTACTTAAAATTTAAAAATTACGGCCTACTTTTATTTAAGGATGTCAATAGCTAATAACCTTATATTTGTGCTTTTAAGTTCAAGATTGAATTCTTTTTGCTTAAAAACTAGCAACAAATAAAGCTTCAACATTGTTATTGTGTCTGTAATGTGAAGAAACATGTGAAGTGAAAATACGATATGCGTCAGAGCAGTAAGTATAAAAAGAATAAGGAATAAAAACCTACAAAATTAAGTTTATAAATAACTGAATTAACAAATAACAGAAAGCGCATTAACAGTTTAGAATGGTAAATATAAGATACAAAATTAAAACATATACTAACCTACCCTACCAATAATAAAAAGCTTAATTTAAAATTCAAAAAGAGATAGAGAGAAAAATTGTCGACGATATTAGCATACAGCTAACATCTTGTTAAAAAATATCTCTGGACTTTAGATTTTGATAAATATATAAAAACTAGATTTTTTTAAAAATGTCGTCATCAAGTTTATTTAGAAAGTCAATATGATTTGGGTTTTTTGCTATGATAGCTATTTTTTGATTTGATTAAAAATTATTAATGTTGAGGTAGAACTGCTGACTCCTCGACTTTGGAAATTCGAAACTCATGGTTTTGTTTTAAAAATGTGTTGTGTACATTCTATATACTCATTACATTCTTAAAGCATTTACGTCACAACACAAGTTCATCAATCTTTCGTGTCAATGGATGGATGTATTGTATAGACTTGTGTTATTTTTTGTCCTTTTACTTACTAATGGATTTTTAACTTATGAACTGTAAAATTGTTTTTATTGTTGCTTAAAAGCAGCGAAAATATTGAGATTTCACCAAGCTTCTTGATTTATCAACCAATTATTTGTTGTGTATATATTATTGTTCATTAACACAATACACAATTATATGAAGTTTTGGGTTTTTTTTACAATTTATTATGATGATCATGATAACTAACGGAATTTGTTTTTAGTTCTAATTTAATTTGAAATTATTGCCAATCAGATCATGCGGTTTTTTCTCCAATGGTATCCGGTTGTTGTATTAAGGATGTTGCAAAAGAACTCTTAGTCGACGACAATTTTTTTTAACTTAATAAAAAAACTAAAATTTCAAAAATCGGATTCATCCTGTAAAATAACTTTTTGAAAAAAATTTAATAAAACAATTTAATTTAAATACATTTTTTCATCTAAGACTTAAGCTTTTTTTATTTTAAGTTTTTTTTTTCCTCTTAATTCTTCAATGAAATTTTTTTATATAAATTATTGTAAAGTTGTAAAAAATCTGATAAAAAAATATTTTAAAACTATTTATGCAGTTTGAAATTAATGAACTTTAACCACTTTTGTTATATTTGTATCTTTTATATTAATTTGTGAGCACAAAAGACAGGAAAAAGTAAACGAAAACGTTTGAGAATTATTGATTTATCTCATCATTTTAAATTTTCAGACATTTATGAAGTTAATCTATTTCTTAAAGCATCTCCGTTGCTAATATGATTAGTTTCAAATGCATGATTTCCATTAAGGTCAAATTTCGCATTCTGTTTACTATCACAGGATTCAATTTTTTCACTCATTGAATTAGCATTAATATCTTTTTCTACTTTTCTTTTATTTTTTGCTGTATAAGCTTGTTTGTAAAAATTCTTAAAAAGGAAGAAAAACAAAACGCCATGTCCACCAATCCAATAAGCAAATGACATCGGATAATTGCATGGATTACTGAAGAATAGTTGAAATGCGTGTACCATTATCCCTACAAATTGTGCCATTTGTAAAAGTGTTAAATATTTTTTCCACCAAAGATATTTTTGCATTTCTGGTCCAATTGCAGCCATCATGTAATATGTGTACATTACAATGTGAACGAAAGTGTTGAGGAATCCAAAGAATGTGCTGTGGCCCCCGGGCATAAATTTTACTCCCCACCAAACTAGTAAATAATGATTAAAAGTATTGTTAACATTTTATATTAAATTAATTGGAATTGGAAACTTTTTTTGTCATGACGGAAGCTTTCATATATATATATTTATTATTAATGAATCAACTGCTTGTTGGGTTTTCTTTTTGGATGAATGTATCAACGACATAGTCAGCAAAGGGTAAAGAAGTTTGACCCCCCAAAACACCATTTAAATATGTTTCTGTCTTATAAAAGTTTTCAATTCTAAGATATTTCGTACTTACCACTGAATGGCATGATTCCATGATGAATTACGTGCAATGTTGAAACTTGATCATATCGTTTTCTTAAAACAAAGAAGAATGTGTCGAAGAATTCCGTGAATTTACTAAAATAGTACCACCAAGATACATAAATCATTCTAATTGCAGATTCACTTTGTGAACGATCCACAGGCTGACATCTCCAATTATAATGTGAAAGCCATCCAGAAAATGCAACTTCATAAAATAAATATGCGCTGAAGAGGACTTGCAGAAAATTATAAAATATTATAAATTTTCGAAGCTTGAATGGTTTTCTGTTTTCCATGAACTTTGGACCGACCACCTGTAAATACAACATTTAAAATAATTAAGACTATTTGCCTATCAAAAAATATAAAAATTGAAATTTTTTCAACTTTCGAGTTTGTTGTTCAGTGAATGGCAGAAAAAGTGTAATAAAAGTTCATCGTGAAATGACATTGATGCAGTTAATTAATTTATATTAAAAAAATGCATCATTTTCACTTTTACAGTTGCATAAAAATAATGTGAGTAATTTTTTTTTATTTAAAGCAATTCTCGCAGTTGCTTAAACGTTCAATGTCAATATGGTTACGCAACTGTAACAATTAGGAAGTTGAGCGTATTTCAATAATATAAAAGCTCATGGTGTATCAACTGTAACCGATAATAAACACAACCATGTCACAAAGTTAAAAATATTCCTAACAATCCTATGGATGATACAGAAAATTTATTAAAATTCGTATTGTCAAGTTTTGTATTACTTATTGCCTAACTTCAATAATTATAATTACCATCAATCTTTTAAGAGAATTAAAGAGATAAATTCATGAACTAAGAATTGACAGATCTCAAACTTCTCATACGCTATGTTTTTTTTTTGTGTAACAAGAAGAGCATTATTAATTGGCGTCTCATTGACTACTTGGGTTGTTATACTATAACAGGAAGAGCACGAAAATAAGGTAACATATAAAACAAGTTTAAATGTTTGTTGTATGCGAAGTTCTGTAGAAAATGTTCTGAATACAAATGTAAGCTTCTGGTTTTAAATTATTATATATCTTCGTGCTCAATCTTAATGAATGACGTATTTTTTGAAATAAATTTTACATTCGCAATTATATGTTTTTTAAAACTCAAAATTAAGCTTAAAGCTGAAACTTTTTAAATATTTATATAATTCAGATATGTTTTATGTCCTAAAACTTTAAAAGTTATTGTTCTTTATGTTTAATTAAAAATGGATTAATTGAATAGAATTCAAGCATGTTAATCATTTTATTTTTGTTCATTATTTTTTAAACTCCTTAAAAAATTAGTTTTGTCTCAAACAAAAACAAGTTCCACTTTTAAATAGTTTAAGAATTTTGAAATTTAAAACTTTACATTTATTAAATAAAAATAACACCGTAAAAGATTTAAGTTCCATATATAACGTATTTATACAATACGGTTTATTAAACATGCTTATAGTTTTGTACTCAAAACAAGTCAAGCGTTTGCGTTGGTTTTCATATTACTAATCAAATCAACGCAAGTGTCTAACTGAATAAATTAACAAAATCGTAAATGATCATTTAAAGATTCATCTTTATGTTTGTCAAGCCCTTAAATATCATACAAAATTTATTTTAAATTATTATAAAAATATTTTCAGATCTTTTTCAATCGTTCAATCGTTGATAAAGATTATACGAATTTGTTTTTATTTTATATGTTCAAAAAGTCCCTATCTGAAGTGTTTTAATTAAATATATGCAAATTAAGGTTTTCTTCAAAAAATATTTAAAATAAAATTGCCTTGTTTATGATCAGCCACAAAAATAATAAATAAAATATCACTATAGTTGAAGATATACAAATTAAATCATATTTTAAATATAAGTTTCAGATGAATTTGTTTCTTGCTTTTTATCATATTATGTTGTTGTTTAACACTTTAATATTTTTTTGAATGTCGACAATAAACTTTAAGTTTATTTTACATAAAAAATTGCACATTTGCTTGTAGCTTTGTGCTTAAATCCTTCTATGTGCTTAATTACTCTTATAAATGAGCTTTTTTAGCAATCCCCTTTTGTGTTCAAATTTGCCGTTTAAATCTTTCTTTAGATGAAAACAATTGCAAAATTAGGGTCTTATTGATAATTTTTTATCGACGACTTTTCTAAACTGATTAAAAAATTATTTATTTTTGCGTAAATCTTTTTAGTTTTACATTAATTGTGTGTATCAAATATTTTTTGATTATTAATTATAACATTTAAACTTCATAATGTAATGTCTAAGTTCCTAGGAAATTTCAAATTAATAATCACATTAAATGCAAAAAAATTAGTATTCTTTTAACGTTTCAAAGTTTCAAAAGTTAAAATGTTTTAATAAATTATTCTGATAATAAAGATGCTCTTGAAAACAGTAAATTCATAATCGGGGAATCGAATAATTTTGCATAAAAATTTACCTTAATAAATTAAGTTAAATCAAAACAAAAATTATTGATTTGTGAATTTAAATCAGGAAACTAATTTAATATTTTGCATGTAAAGCACGTTGTCTGTCGTTATATGAGGCCATTGATTGCTGTTTTTATTGTTTTTAGAACAACTTTGCTTCATAGATCAGAAATAATAATAATTTCATTGAAGTTTATTATACTTTACCAAATTGTATCAAATTACGAATAAGGCGTTAAATTCTTCTCAAATCATATTTTGCAATATCATTGGAAAATTATACGATAATTACCCGAGGTGATGTGAAGTTAAACTATAATTATCACAATCATTAAATCAAAAAAAAAAATGATCTTTAACCAAAATTAAATGATCAATATTTTGATACTCTTGTACATTTTTTTCTTATGGTATTTTCAGAGCTCAATCTTAAGGAAGTATTGCGAAAATTTCATTTTTCGACAATTTTTTTTTCCAATACAAAGTGGAGTCCTTGAAAATTTCATCACAGTAAACATTTTTGCGTTTTTTTTTTCTTAGCAATTTTTGTTCTAACCCCCCCCCCCCCCCCCTCATCTGGGTATTTTCAAGTATTTCGAATCAAAAATATATCTTAGAAATCAAAAAGAAAACCGTTGATAACTTAAAATGTTGGTTGAAAAATTTATTGGTTGGTTGAACAGACCAAAACCAAGTATCTGGTTACACAATTTATAGGTATTTGTACTTGCGTAGTAGATAACTTTCTTCCTTATTTTATCGCACATGCTAATTTTTGAATAAATATTCTTTCTTTGATAATTTTGAATCATTAAAATCAATTATTGTAATTAAATTTCATATTATTTTAAATATCGATAATGAAGGTCAAAGTCAACAAACGCAACGAAGAAGAATTTGTATGCATATTTCGTAACATCTCACGCAGTTTACAACCTATAGTCAATTTTTTTTTGAAAGGAAACATTTTGTGTATTTATTTAATTCACATTTATATTATATTTTAAAAATTTGTAGTCAAATGATCTATCACACAGTTTGCTATACTTTAAAGAGTAGTTTTTGTTACACAAGGAACAAGTTAGTAGTTTAAATTACACATGTAATTAGCAATTATTTATTTATTTGAATAATTATTCACATATCCAAAGAACTATGAATTAATTGTCAGTAATTATTAAGAAATCATTAAATTCATTGTTACTAAGTTCAACCTCGTTGAACTTGAATTTAAGTCAGATCAAAAGCTTGTCAGGATTCTTTTTAATTCATTTGTCAGAATGTCTTAAAATCCTTTAAGTTCAAAAGTGCTTGAAAATAAAGTTTCACCCTCAATTACATGAAAAAAAACGTTATTCAGAATCTGTTTTAATTGAGAAACCAAAATTGCAACACTTCAATCTGTTTTTGACTTCTTGCACATTTACCACTAATGTAATGCACACAGTTTAATGCAATTTGGAACATTTTCATGAATACTTTTAATGCCAGCTTTAAGTAGCATATATAAATATGTAAACTGTAATAGTAGGTAACAGCAACAGTACGATTGAGAAATATTGCCGGTAAAATAAAGAAAAAAAAATGTGAAATATATAAATTACAAAAAAATTTTTTTTTGTTCCTCAAAGCTGATGAAAGCGCATTTAAATTAAAAAAATTTTAAATACGTATGTTAATATTCACATTTTTTTGTTAAAAAATAGAATCTAAGATAGATTATTATCTGACTTAAGTCTAATGCACAAACGCTAAAATGGAATTAATAGAAAAGTTTTCCATAAAGTGAAGCTTGTTTATTTATTGACAGCTAGACAAGATGCATAGAAAAAACGCGGTCAGTAAACATTTTTTTATAGATAGTATATTAAAGATACGAGCCTCATCAGAAAGTAGACCGAAATGTGTATCTTAAACAGTAAATAGCAGGTTAAAAAAAGTTTCAAGGTCTTTGGTGATTACGTAAGATGTAAATATTGTATAATTTGCAGTGAACTAAAAAGGTATGAGATGTAACTTCTAAAAATTATTGCGTTTACTTCCGTTTATTAAAATAAATGAGAGATTATGAAAAAACCGCGCGCAAAACAGACAAAATAAGTTTTTACTTAAATTTTTAAGCAAAGTAAGGCAACATTTTATTTTATTGCACTTGAGATTTGAGTGCATTTATCATGAGCATGAGAAGGAGATATGTGATATCTGGCAATAATCTAAACTGATATTACAGTTACAAGATCAGTCTATACTTGCGTTTTCTGGCATTGAAATCTTTCCGCATTTTATTTCCTTACAGTGAATGCATTAATAGGATTTACTAGGTTAAAAATAACTTTTTAGTACAACTATTGCTGTATTAAATGTTTTAAGATATTTTTCACGAGCATGTGACTGTGATTCATTCTATATTTGTTAACATACTATTGACATTGAACTCATGCAAATATATTTTGGGTATCTTCAAAAAATTTCATTGAATAAATCGCTTTGAAACAGATACAATCAATGATACACGAATGAGAAAATATGTGGATTTACTATCTTTCTACCGGTTTGAACAGAAAAAAGAGAGATGAAAAATAAACAAAAACCTACCTTGACAATGTAGACATATGACAAACAAATCATGATTGTAGGAAGCGGTGATGACATTAGAAACCAATTTGTCGTTCTTGGATCTGATTTGTTATTCATCAGGTCCTGCCAACCAAGATATATTTTGTGAGCAATATTCATCTGAAAGAAGAACAGAGAATCTTGTTTAATTTACATTTACAAATTAAATAACTCCTGCTTGAGATGATGTAAAATTCGTGAATCAAAGCAAATCATCTGATTGTATATAAAAAAAATAAAGTGCGAAGAGGAAACAGAAAAGAGAGCTATTTTTGGTGTAAATTGATAAAATAATAAACAGGAATTTCTTGATTTTTAAAAAGCTCGCTTTAGTGAATTTAAAAGAAGTTCGGCTAAAATATGCTCATTTTTGTCGTAGCTATAAAGCAACTTAAACTTTTCAAATGATCCAAGTCGCAGCTGTTAAATTATTTTCGGAAAATATCAACATTAATAAAACAAGTTTTAAACCTTTTTACATATTTTACATTCAATTAATTTTAATATTTTAATCAGAGTTTTCATTAGCTAATTATTATAATTAAATTCTATGTATTTTTTGAAAACTTTTTGTAACCGGCTCGGTTTTTTGAGTAGTAATCATTCGAAAAATTCAAAAAGGCTCAAGTCAAACAGCAAGATTTTGAGAGAAAGGTTTAAGTTTCACTTATAATATCTTGTTGTAGTGATATATAAGAGGAGCTTCAACTACAATGATGCTTATCTTTTGTCATTAAATAGTTTTATTTTTGTTTGCATTTATTTTATTTTTTAAACCAAGAATTACCAAACATATTCAATAATATGACCTTATTATGTTAGATTTTTCTATCAAATGTTTACCAATTTATTAATTAATCGAATTAATCTATTCTGCACATTAGTTCATGAATTTTTAAGTAACTTAATTTTTTTGAGAAACTTTCAACTTGAAAAGTGATTTACATTTAAACTTTACTCTTAATGTTTTTTTTTTCTTTCAAATTGACTGGTGACTCTATTATGTCCTTATTCAGTAATTAATTGTTTTCGATTGTCATGAATTATGTCACATCAATAAAATCACATCAAAGTTACAAATTGACATTCAGTTAATCAGCTTCTCTTATAACTGTTACTTTTCGCACCTTTTTTTTCGTAGCTTTCAGCTCTAGTTAGTTATAAACATTTAATTGATTGACGAAATTTTTATTGTAAATAGTTTTCATATTCATATACGTTCAATTAAAATGTTTCCATGAATGAAATAAAAAAATTGCAACAAAAATCAAAAATAATGAATCAATCAATTTTTGAATAAAATTGCAAACTTGTTATTATTTGATGTTCTTGTTGTTAAAGTTCGATTTTATTAAAATGCCATTGAACTTCAAAATATATATTAGCAGTGTTGAGTTTATTTCAACTGGGATCAAGATTCATCAAACTATCAACTTACAAATTTAACCTAATTATTTTTAATTCCTTAAGATCACAAGATATGTTTTGAACTTAAAGTAAATTGGTAATTGATGAAGAATTAATAATTAAAATGATTAATTTATTTGAATATTTGAATCAATTTGAAAATTTATCGATGCAAAAATTTGCCACATTAGAATATGATTTAACACTCGATTATCATAAAACAAACCACCTGCATGGTTTTTTTAAAAAAAAACTACAAACTAAACTATTGAAGTAGAAAATTCTCAAAAGCAGAAATTTCTGAATAAAACAGAACCGAAATACTAATTCAGTGATACTGAAAAATCATAGATTAGAATTTAAACAAAAATTTGTAGGTTTAACAGTTTACGAGTTAATGATGAATAATCAAGTTGCTTCTTTTATGAAGTTTTGTTTCATGAAGGTTATCATGAATGAAATATAGAAAAACTCTCTACGAAAAATATTAAAATTTCTTCTTATTTATTAATAGCCATAACAATCGATTTTTTTTCCTTTAAATCTTTAAAAGATAAAACCAACGTGTTTTTCTAATATTTTTTTAAAAAATCAATTTTTAAATTTTAGTTCTTATTACAGTTTTAATTTGAAAGTTTAAAATAAAAAATTATTTTTTGCTCTTCAACACTTTTTATTTCAACATTTAACTTGAATTAATTAAAGACATTATGTTATTGTTACTAGATTTCTTCATAACAGTTTATTTTCACAGAATGTTAACGTTGCATCAAAAAAGAAAGAAACTTTGTTATTTGTTTTGACAGATTTGCGAAAAGCACAACTAGCAAACAAGTTTAATGTTTGGAAATGTCGATTCAACTTTTTTTACTTTTGGAATGTGACAATTTTTTTAAAAAATATTTTGAACAAATCTTCGCACACGCGCAATTTCATCTCAAAAACTCAATTGTTATCAAATTTATTTTTTTGTGCACAGTTTTGCATTATTTTATATTAAATATTTATTTATTAAAAATTCACATGGTCCATAAACTACATTAACTGCACACACAAGCTGACTCGCAATTATTTTCATTATTCAACTCACTTAAAGATTTTTTTAATATTTCATATCGTATTTCTTAAAATAGAGATAAGATTCAAGGTTAAATCATTTCAGATAGTTCAGATATTCATTTTTTGCGTGTTTTTAATAAAAATAAATATTGTCTTATTGAATTACCATCTTACTTGAACAGCACTTGTTTAATATTATTACCTGAGTATAATATCTGCTTTATAATATTTGAAATGATTTTTAATTACTGATCGATTTATCTTAAAATTCATAATATTTATTGAGTCTGTTTATCTACTTAGCTTTAATAAAAACTAGAGCTTTCATTTTTAATTCCTCACAATTCATTCATACATCTCTTAAGGAATATATACGAATTTTTTTTCAATCTAATGAACATATTATACTATGATAAAATCAAGGATAGACCCTATCATGCATGCTTAGATATGCTTAGTTATGCAAAGTTTTTTTTTTTTAAATTCAAATAAACTTTTTGACCCTCATTCTAGCCCTCATTCTGTATCTCTTATAGATTACACGGCATTTGTGGAAGAACCAAATGTTTTTTTTACATTTAAAATCTTCTTTACTTTGTTAAATTTAATGATTTGTTGTGAAATATCTTGTTCATAAAGTTCTTTAACAAAATTTCAGAAAACCCCGGAAACATGGAAAACCACAAACGTGTGACTATATAAAAAAAATTAACTTTGAGTCAAATGAATATTCGTTTATGTTTTACTTAGAGAGATAAAATGCAAAAATTACAACATCAAAATATCTTAAAAAAATGTTTATCAAAAATGGCTAACGCAATGCCCTTAGCATCAAATAATATTTGGTAAAACCGGTATACTTTTGAGAAAAGTGAGATTACGTCGACATGATAAATCGTTTTCTTATTTTTTCACTTTATTGTGTGCCTATACTATTACGAGAAATTTTTTGTGACTTGATTAAACAATATGATCTTATCATATGTAACTTATTCTTAAGTTTTATGAAATGTGTTGTGGATTTAAATTTAAGAAAGTTAAAAAGATTATGTCAACTGATTCAGTAGTCTTTAATTGGCTGCATTTTGAAAATAACCACTTGTTTTATTATGAAATTTCATTTTATTTTAGATTTGATGAGTTTTATTTTTGATTGTCATTGAGAAATAACATCGTCAATTACAGAAACGAGACGTGTCCAATGCATGAAAACCGCAAAACTAAATTTTTCACTTGGCATGCATAATATATTCCAATGAAACTCTTGAGCTACGCATGATTTTTATCTAAATGGAACTTTACCAAAACTTGATCTACATTTAAGATGCTTCATGAAGGTCAATTGCAAGTATTTTAATTTGTTGTAATTAAATCTTGCAAAAATGAAACTTTTTGTTTTAAAAAGAAATTAGTGAGATTCGTGTACAAATTGCGACATAATTTTAATGCTTTTTTTTTGTTAAATGAAAAGTCGTGTTGTTTAATTTTGACTCACGAAATATTTTTTTTCACGAATTCCGGTAAAAATATTTTTTTTTATCTTTTTTAAACTCGTTTGAATTTCTATTATCTGTCTTCTTGTTAAGGCATCATTTCAAAGACTAAAAACTGAGTTGTCAAAAATTGTATCGGCTCAATGAAATTCATCATCCATGAAAAATGTAAAATAATAATTTGCAAATTTTCATTTGATTATAATATTCTTGATGAATTGACTGTATTTAAATGAAATTTTTAATATCACATATATTTTGTCTTGAAGCAGAACCAAAAGCCCAAAATTTGCGGTGTCACGAGTATTTTTTACATAAAAATCAAATTTCACATAAAATTATTGCACATCGAACTTATAATTATTATTCTCTATAATAAATATATTGTCATTTAAAATGACTAATTCTGAATGTAAGTAGTCGAAATGCTGTTGAATTATTTTAAATTAGTACTCGCATTTTAGATGTTTTTTTTATAATTATTCATTGGCAGATTTACAATAACACAAATTAGCTCTCTTTTCTGAGTTTCCTTAATAACTGTCGTATATTCTTCCTTATTCCATTTTTCTGGCTGGTAATGATTTACCTTCAACTTAATTCACTATGTAACTATTTAATTTAACAATTTTTCTTATGATTAAAAACGATTTATACAACTTTTTTTTCTTCTTAAACTCCAAACGAATTGAATTTTTTTTACAAAACTATTTTTTTAATATTTTCCTTTCGTTACGCGAACCGCTCGTCGTGAGAGCTAGCCGTCGACTGACAAAAAGCTGTATGAAAAGTCGCTGGTTAATATATGGGTTATGCTCACCTCTCAATATACAAAATCACATGTTTACTTCAGTTTAAAGAAAACTTTAAGAGCAGCGGCCCTTGTACTTATATCGCTATATTCGCACTTAACATGTTGGCTTAAAATCTTATTTTAGTTTTTAAAAGATTTTTTTTTGTGCTGTGGAAAAATATTTGTGAGTAAAAAAGAGATCAAATAAATAATTTTATACAAAATGATATTAACGGGTTTTTCTCTAAGATCGTTAAATTTCGCACACAAATGATTAAGAGTGATTTCCAAAATTTTACGATACACCTTTTGGAAATTTCTAAAATTTGCAAAGTCATGCAAAAAAAATTTTAAATTTTGTTGAGTTT